GCCAGGCCTTCCTGTCCTTCACTGCCTCCCTGAGTTTGCTCAGTTTCATGCTCATGTATATCATTACTGCTGGTCAAATACAATTTCCCTACCAAGCTTGCAAGTGTGCTATATTTGCTAGCTTGCATGTTAGCATTTCAGTGCTAATCTTCAGTTAGGTTGGAGGAAGCACAAACTACAAGATGAGGGATGTGGCAAGCAGTCTAATCAAAAAGAGTTTCAGACACTGGAAAAATGTGTATTCATCCATATTGAAAGCAAAAGGTAGATGATAAACCTTGGTTTCAAGAGGTGCTAAAGAACCTGAACAAGATAATTTGTGGTACGTTACAGCTTTTTTTGCAGCTGGAGAACAACAATCACCAGAAGGGTATCAAGTTCCAGGGATGGTATATTCCCCATGTGTGGTAGTCCTTCAAAAAAACACTAGAAGCCCTGCTGGGTCAGGCCAAAACCTTAGCTGATATAGCAGATAGTGTTTGAGCAGAAGCATCCAGAAAACTCACAGGAGGGCACTAGCCTTCTTTTTTACAGTTATGTATCAACAGGATGGAATGGTGGTAGGATTTAGGCAGTAGTATGGAGCCAAAACAGCATATATTGTTAGTTCCTGGTTTGAGCAGGCAGTAGTTTGAAGGCAATCCTTTGGTACTTCCACATGGCCTTTGTCAACTTATTTCCAGTTTAACTGCAGTACAACATAAACTATACAAATATCAGTTTCAGCTAGAAGCAGTTTCCAAAGGCCAGGAACTTCCAACTCACCCATTGTCCCAGGTATCTGACTTTTTCCTCCTCCCTGCACTTGGAAACAAGTTTCATGCTACTGTTGCCACAGGAGACTTAAGTTGAGCACAATAACTGTTGTTGTTGTTGCTTTAAAAAATGCTGTGAGATTGATGAACAGTTTTTGTACTCCCAGTTGTGAGGTGAAGAGAACACTGATTGGTTCATGGGACTCCTCAGACTTATATAAGGATAGCAACAATGGTGGTGCTTGCACAACAGTTCAAAACTGCTTGTGAAGATTTGGTGAAAACCAGTGGCTATGTGGAAATGCCTATCCCTCTTGCCAGTTTGAAATACTTAGAACAAGGAGCAACAATCACAAGCTCCTGCAGATCTTGCAGCAACAAAAGTCCCTTCATCCTCATTCCATATAAAAGGAAAAGAGAAGGAAAGAAAAGACCAAATAGCCCAGTGGTTCCCAAACTTTCTTGGTTCACAGTGCCATTAGTGTCTCAGTAATTTTGTCACAGTACCCAGCAGTCCTCAAACTGTGCACTGTGGCTACTAGTCTAGTAGTTCATGCAATGTCTGACAGACATCAAGCATTATTGTGTTTCCCTGAAATATTTAAAATGTCCCACAGCACCCCTGTGAGTTTTCTGTGGCACTCCAGGGCACTGTGGTACACAATTTGGGAACTGTAGGAATAGCCTGACATTTTGCAAATCTGCTGGTGTCTTGCTGAACAGAAGGTGGAAGGTATCAAAACTCTTGTCAATTTCTTCCACAATCCCTTTGAGGGAACTGATGAGCCATCAAGCCAACATTTCGCTTAAAGGACTTGAAACTCAAGCCAGGATGAGAGGTGGAAGGTAGCCAGACTGTCTAAAAAATGCCAAATAATGCAAAACAAAAAAGTTTCACAATGGTTTCAATCACACTGCATCTCAGCCAGTAATAAATAATCAGCATTCCAGCACTGCTGATGGCACAGAAATACAGATGTCCAAAACTCCTTCCAAGCTGGCCTATGGATTCCAGAAACTCCATAGAATTTCTTGCATGGAGTTGTCTTATTTACAGGTGTTTTGACCTTTCTCTATAGCTTAAATTAAAGATTTTTCCTGGAGTTTAAATATGCATCAGGCATAAGAAGCTACAAATTATTTCAAGTTGATTTGTTCCACAGTACCATAACTCGGTACAGTAGAATTACATTTCTATCATTAAACTGTTGTGAATAATCAAATATTTGAATAGGAATTATTGATGACAAGCATCCTTTTTCAAAAATTATGTGAATATTTTGATTAAGCTTGCTTCAGTAAAAGAAATGGAAATAGAGCTTTAAAATAGTGAATGAAAGGAAAATAGATATTGTCTTATTTGAGGGAAAAAATCAGCAGTTACATAAAAGATAAGTTAAAGTTTAAAAAACTAATCTTGAACTAAACGTTAAAGGCATCCTTAAAATCACCAGTGTTATTTGTTTGCCTGCTTGCTTGTTTTCATTGTAAATAGAACACTTTGATTTATTTATTTATTTATTTGCCTTGAAACAAACAGTCCTGTTGCTCTTTAAAAGGAAAACTTTCTTCTATTTAGGAGAAAAATGTATATCATTTTAAGAAGATAACAAGCAACATAAAACCTTTACAAGTGTTGCTATTTTATTAGCTGCCTTAGGACTACAAGGATTTAAGTGTTTTTTTACAAAAACACCACCATAACAATAAAAGAGGAGTCATTTGATGGTTTATTTACTCTCTATAACCTTTAGAAAGTGTCAAGCCTTTTGTAAAATGCTTGCTTCAGGCTGTAGTTTTACAAGAAAGGCAGTGTATTGTTCAACCCCCCCTGATTTTTGACCCTGAACAGATTTAGGAATACAGTACAGCTGGCTCACATCCAAGCAGCCCAAACTAG